AATGCAAAGAGGAGCTTTGTGACCCACTGTCAACCATATTTAATAAATCAATAGAGTCAGGCAGAGTGCCAGAGTTTTGGAAAGTTGCTAATGTGATACCAGTTTTTAAGAAAGGAGATAGATCACTTGCGTCTAACTATCGACCAATTAGCCTAACGTCTATTGTGGGAAAGTTACTCGAATCTATAATAGCAAATAAAATTCGTCTTCATCTTGAAAAACATAAATTAATAATTGAGTCGCAACATGGTTTTATAAATGGCCGTTCATGTTTAACAAATTTGTTATCTTTTTATTCTAGCATTGTTGAGGCAGTTGATAGTGGTAAGGATTGCGATGTTGTATACCTTGACTTTAGCAAAGCTTTTGATACAGTGCCACATGAAAGACTGATTAAAAAAATAGAGTCTCATGGTATTGGGGGTGCTATATTAAGCTGGATTAGGGCATGGCTATACCAAAGGAAACAGAGAGTTAGTATAAATGGAATCAAGTCAGAGTGGGAAAATGTTGTAAGTGGAGTGCCTCAAGGCTCTGTCCTGGGACCTCTGTTGTTTATAATATATATAAATGATTTAGATTCAGGTTTGAGTAGCAACATTTGCAAATTTGCCGATGATACGAAAATCGGTAGGGAAATTAATTCGGAGGAGGACTCACTATCACTTCAAGTTGATCTAGATAGGGTTTTGAAATGGTCAAAGGATTGGCAGATGCAGTTTAATGCTGATAAATGTAAAGTTCTGAGGTTAGGTAATGATGATAGAGTTACAAGATACGAGCTAGATGGTGTTGTGATTGCGAAGTCGGATTGCGAAAGGGATCTGGGAGTTATGATTAGTAAGAATTTAAAACAAAAGGATCAATGCATAAATGTTCGTAATAAGGCAAATCGGACACTTGGATTTATTAATCGCAGCGTTAGTAACAAGACACCTGGTGTGGTTCTCAAGCTATATCTTGCTCTAGTTAGGCCCCATTTAGATTATGCAGTTCAGTTTTGGTCGCCATATTATAGAATGGATATAAATTCACTTGAACGTGTCCAGCGTAGGATGACTAAGTTAATTCCCCAAATTAGAAATCTTTCATATGAAGAAAGATTAACAAAGCTTAAGTTGCATTCACTGGAAAGGGTTTTTTTCAATTATATCGTGCTATGACTAGGTAAAGGATAGGTCCATTAAAAACTGAGACAGGTCAAATAACAGATAGTGATGAAGAGATGAGTAGTATTTTTAATAAATATTTTGTATCTGTATTTACTAAAGAGGAACTTAACAATATGCCTTCAGCCGAACAAGTCTATGTGGGTGGGGACGAGGACAGATTGACGAGTTTAGCAGTTACCCGGGAGGATGTTCTTAAACAAATAGTAAAACTCAAACCAAACAAATCCCCAGGGCCGGATGAAGTGTTTGCCAGGGTGCTTAAAGAATGCAAAGAGGAGCTTTGTGACCCACTGTCAACCATATTTAATAAATCAATAGAGTCCTGCAGAGTGCCAGAGTTTTGGAAAGTTGCTAACGTGATACCAGTTTTTAGGAAAGGAGATAGATCACTTGCGTCTAACTATCAACCAATTAGCCTAACGTCTATTGTGGGAAAGTTACTCGAATCTATAATAGCATATAAAATTCGTCTTCATCTTGAAAAACATAAATTAATAATTGAGTCGCAACATGGTTTTATAAATGGCCGTTCATGTTTAACAAATTTGTTATCTTTTTATTCTAGCGTTGTTGAGGCAGTTGATAGTGGTAAGGATTGCGATGTTGTGTACCTTGACTTTAGCAAAGCTTTTGATACAGTGCCACATGACAGACTGATTAAAAAGATAGAGTCTCATGGTACTGGGGGTGCTATATTAAGCTGGATTAGGGCATGCTATACCAAAGGAAACAGAGAGTTAGAATAAATGGAGTCAAGTCAGAGTGGGAAAATGTTGTAAGTGGGGTCCCAGGCTCTGTCCTGGGACCTCTGTTGTTTATAATATATATAAATGATTTAGATTCAGGTTTGAGTAGCAACATTTGCAAATTTGCCGATGATACGAAAATCGGTAGGGAAATTAATTCGGAGGACTCACTATCACTTCAAGTTGATCTAGATAGGGTTTTGAAATGGTCGAAGGATTGGCAGATGCAGTTTAATGCTGATAAATGTAAAGTTCTGAGGTTAGGTAATGATGATAGGGTTACAAGATACGAGCTAGATGGTGTTGAGATTGCGAAGTCGAATTGCGAAAGGGATCTGGGAGTTATGATTAGTAAGAATTTAAAACAAAAGGATCAATGCATAAATGTTCGTAATAAGGCAAATCGGACACTTGGATTTATTAATCGCAGCGTTAATAACAAGACACCTGGTGTGGTTCTCAATCTATATCTTGCTCTAGTTAGGCCCCATTTAGATTATGCAGTTCAGTTTTGGTCGCCATATTATAGAATGGATATAAATTCACTTGAACGTGTCCAGCGTAGGATGACTAAGTTAATTCCCCAAATTAGAAATCTTTCATATGAAGAAAGATTAACAAAGCTTAAGTTGCATTCACTGGAAAGGTGTTAGGGGTGACATAATAGAGGTTTACAAGTGGGTGAATGGACATAGCAAAGGGGATATTAATAGGGTATTAAAAGTATCAACACAAGACAGAACACGAAACAATGGGTATAAATTGGATAAGTTTAGATTTAGGAAAGACTTGGGTAAATACTGGTTCAGTAACAGGGTTGTTGATTTGTGGAACCAATTACCGCGTAACGTGCTGGAGGTGGGGTCCATCCATTGTTTCAAGCGCGGGTTGGACAAGTATATGAGTGGGATTGGGTGGTTATATATAGGAGCTGCCTCGTATGGGCCAATAGGCCTTCTGCAGTTACTTATGTTCTTATGTTCTTGATTTGTGGAACCAATTGCCCTGTAACGTGGTGGAGGTGGGGTCCCTCGATTGTTTCAAGCGCGGGTTGGACAAGTATATGAGTGGGATTGGGTGGTTATATATAGGAGCTGCCTCGTATGGGCCAATAGGCCTTCTGCAGTTACTTATGTTCTTATGTGGTCCCTCGATTGTTTCAAGAGCGGGTTGGACAAGTATATGAGTGGGATTGGGTGGTTATAGATAGGAGCTGCCTCGTATGGGCCAATAGGCCTTCTGCAGTTACCTTTGTTCTTATGTTCTTAAACTACCAAGTTAGCATAGCAGGGCAAGCGGATACAAATCCTAAAGGTTTTTTTCAGTTATATCGAATTAAGACTAGGGAAAGGATAGGTCCATTAAAAATTGAGAATTTTTTGAGGATAATAATTTTAATACGGATAATGACAAGGAGATGAGTAGTATTTTTAATAAATATTTTATATCTGTATTTTCTAAAGAGGAACTTAACAATATGCCTTCAGCCGAACAAATAGATGTGGGTGGGGACGAGGACAGGTTGACTAGTATAGCAGTTACCAGGGAGGATGTAATGAAACAAATACTAAAACTAAAACCAAACAAATCCCCAGGGCTGGAAGAAGTGTTTGCCAGGGTGCTTAAAGAATGCAAAGAAGAGCTTTCCGAGCCTCTGTCTTCCATATTTAATAAATCAATAGAGTTAGGTAGAGTGATGTCACTGTAGTCATGGAAGGTAGCTAATGTTGTTCCAATTTTTAAGAAAGGAGATAAATCACTTGCGTCAAACTATCGGCCAATTAGCCTAACGTCTATTGTGGGAAAGTTACTTGAAGCGATAATTGCAAACACATTTCGCATTCATCTTGAAAAACATAAATTAATAAATGACATGGTTTTACAAATGGCAGTTCATGTTTAGCAAATTTGCTATCATTATATTCCAGCATAGTTGAGGCAGTTGATAGTGGTAAGGATTATGATGTTGTGTACCTTTATTTTAGCAAAGCTTTTGATACAGTGCCACATGAAAGACTGATTAAAAAAATAGAGGCTCATGGTATTGGGGGTGCTATATTTAAGTTGGATTAGGGCATGGCTATTCCAAAGGAAACAGAGTTAGTATAAATATCACTTCAAGTTGATCTAAATAGGGTTTTGAAATGGTTAAAAAAAAACACTGGGATAGTATTGCATGAATTAAATAAGGTACCCCTTTTTATCCTGCAAAATTTAATTGCATTAATATTATACAATCGGTATCTCGAATGCCCTACTGTATACATAACAGAAATTGGTATACAGGCATATATATTATCCTCAATATCCTTTCAGCACCATAAAGGTTAAGACATACCTCGGCTACGTCAGTAGTAACCACTATGAAATGCCTTCAGTAAACAAAAATTAGTTACAAAATGTATTTAAACAGATATGAAGTTTTTCCTCCCGGGACTAACAATGACTTGCTCAAATTTCATAATTATGGCCAATTATCAAGATATTTAATAACACACGAGACTTCATGGACGGCACAATCCCATGATGCCTAAAAAGCTTTGCGTTATGCATTAAACTCTTCACTTGTAGCGAATTAAATTATTAGTAAATTTATGGGGCAAATTATTCTATAATTTCCATGATAGACAGATGCACTATTCCACATCTATACTACAGTGAATTGTTTGGCATTTTCTTTAAGTTGGTTTCATTAATCCATCTTAACCAACCCATCCTCTCACCTAATACTACTGTACATAGCAGTTTTAACAGAATTGATCTGTTAAAAACGAGAGGCATTAGTAAAAATTAAAGTAACATAATAGTGACACTTTTTAAGCCTTGGTCTTGATAGGTTAGGTGGGTTGCTTAGGTTCTGAAGATTCAGGTTAGGTAAATTTAAAGAAAATAACCGACGCTATGGATCTTCAATAATTCCTTCGGCACAACAACGATTAGCTTGCTCCGAACTTCAAATTGTCAATTTATTTATCTTGGCAAATGAAAGAAATATGCAAGAAATTAAAATTCCTTTAATTTGAGAAAAAATACAAAACCCTCCTAAACTACATCCTTAATAAAAACTCTTAATTAACCTTAATAAATTACACAGTGGGTGTAATTTTTAAGAATTCACACAAATCTCAACCCAGTTTCAATGGGGTGTAGAAAAAGCAGCTGTACTAATGTGCTCTAATATGATGCGAACTATTTTACATTAGCTTGTGTGTGCATGTTCATTACTTTCATATTCTATAATAACAGGCTCCCTGGGGAACAACAAGTATACTGAACATTGCAGATTAGAGGTTTTTCTTTATACGGACTGAAAATCAATCTCACTGCCAAGATAATGGCAATAATGACTGGTTCGTTCTTCGATGCCTAGGAGGAAAATCTTTCAAATGTCAATCTTATAATGTATTTAACATTAAAAATATATAATTCCTGTGTAGCCAAGGACTTTAAAAATGCTGGGAAATATACATCATTTTAATCTGAGAGATGATCATCCAATTGTACTGAGAGCAGATACATAATCCACAACCACAGTAAGACTCTGATCTACTTTTCTTCTTCGGAATCGGTCTCTGCTGCTGCAGATTTTGAGCGACTACGTGATTTTCTCTTCTCTGGGGTAGGGCTATGGGAACGAGACCTGGATCTTGACTTGGACCTCTCTGAGCCTGACCTTGATCTTGAGCGAGAGCCAGACTTTGAACGTGACTTGGACTTTGAGCGGCGTTTCTTGCTGTGGCCACCACTCCTTGAAAGAGAGCGGCTGTGAGAACGGGAGTGGGAGCGCGACCTGGAACGAGTACGTGATCGTGAACGAGATCTCGATCGCGAGGATGATCTTGACCTGGATCTGGATCTAGAACTCCTCGATTTCGATTCATCTACAAGATGAATACGTCTTCCATGTAGTTCCTTGCCATCTAATCTGTGAAGGGCATTCTTCATGTCTGCATAGGTAGCAAATTCCACCACACCTTCATTTCTTCGGTATTCGTGCGCGGCTGCGTACGTGACCTCACCAGCTTGGCGCATAAAATCTTTGAGATCCTGCCAGGACACTCTACTAGAGAGGTTCTCAGCAGTTAGACGGTAATCTGTTCGGGCAGCCATGCCAAATCGACTGGAATGAAATCCTCTTGGTGGTGGTGCCCGAGGCCAGCGCATCCGTGGAGCAGAACGTGCCTTCTCCACTGTTACTCTTTCACCAAGAAGCTCTTTTCCATTCATCTCGTAGACAGCATCATCTGCATCACGGTCATCGTCAAACTCCACAAAACCAAAGCCATTCTTGATAACAATGTCCCTTAAGCTGCCATATGATCTGAAGAATCTGTCAAGATCCCTCTCCCCAACACGGTAGCTGAGTCCACCAACATACACGCGAGTGCCTACCATGGTGTCTCGGAATTCACTTCATAAACGGGAGTTTGTATGGCGGTGTGGAGCTAGTACTCCTGCAGGCTGCGTGTCACTGTGGGACTGGGACGCTACTGCGCACCCTCCTCTTATGCTGTCTGCGCACCTCACGCCCCCACCTTCTTCACCCCACCATTTGTGCATCTTCCCCCACCTGCTCACTCTCTTGGTATAGCAATAATATAAAGAAGCTTGGTATAGCATAATTGGTTACGGGATACTATTGATTATAGATGCAATAGACTCCTAAGCCTGTGAGTCTCGTCTCACAACATATACTCACACAGCCCCCTCTTTTATGCGAATGGTCAAAAGATTGGCAGATGCAGTATAATGCTGATAAATGTAAAGCTCTGTTTTTTTTTCGTTTTTTTCAGTTATATCGTGCTAAGACTAGGTAAAGGATAGGTCCATTAAAAACTGAGACAGGTCAAATAACAGATAGTGATGAAGAGATGAGTAGTATTTTTAATAAATATTTTGTATCTGTATTTACTAAAGAGGAACTTAACAATATGCCTTCAGCCGAACAAGTCTATGTGGGTGGGGACGAGGACAGGTTGACGAGTTTAGCAGTTACCAGGGAGAATGTTCTTAAACAAATAGTAAAACTCAAACCAAACAAATCCCCAGGGCCGGATGAAGTGTTTGCCAGGGTGCTTAAAGAATGCAAAGAGGAGCTTTGTGACCCACTGTCAACCATATTTAATAAATCAATAGAGTCAGGCAGAGTGCCAGAGTTTTGGAAAGTTGCTAATGTGATACCAGTTTTTAAGAAAGGAGATAGATGACTTGCGTCTAACTATCGACCAATTAGCCTAACGTCTATTGTGGGAAAGTTACTCGAATCTATAATAGCAAATAAAATTCGTCTTCATCTTGAAAAACATAAATTAATAATTGAGTCGCAACATGGTTTTATAAATGGCCGTTCATGTTTAACAAATTTGTTATCTTTTTATTCTAGCGTTGTTGAGGCAGTTGATAGTGGTAAGGATTGCGATGTTGTGTACCTTGACTTTAGCAAAGCTTTTGATACAGTGCCACATGACAGACTGATTAAAAAGATAGAGTCTCATGGTACTGGGGGTGCTATATTAAGCTGGATTAGGGCATGCTATACCAAAGGAAACAGAGAGTTAGAATAAATGGAGTCAAGTCAGAGTGGGAAAATGTTGTAAGTGGGGTCCCAGGCTCTGTCCTGGGACCTCTGTTGTTTATAATATATATAAATGATTTAGATTCAGGTTTGAGTAGCAACATTTGCAAATTTGCCGATGATACGAAAATCGGTAGGGAAATTAATTCGGAGGACTCACTATCACTTCAAGTTGATCTAGATAGGGTTTTGAAATAGTCGAAGGATTGGCAGATGCAGTTTAATGCTGATAAATGTAAAGTTCTGAGGTTAGGTAATGATGATAGGGTTACAAGATACGAGCTAGATGGTGTTGAGATTGCGAAGTCGAATTGCGAAAGGGATCTGGGAGTTATGATTAGTAAGAATTTAAAACAAAAGGATCAATGCATAAATGTTCGTAATAAGGCATATCGGACACTTGGATTTATTAATCGCAGCATTAGTAACAAGACACCTGGTGTGGTTCTTAAGCTATATCTTGCTCTAGTTAGGCCCCATTTAGATTATGCAGTTCAGTTTGGTCGCCATATTATAGAATGGATATAAATTCACTTGAACGTGTCCAGCGTAGGATGACTAAGTTAATTCCCCAAATTAGAAATCTTTCATATGAAGAAAGATTAACAAAGCTTAAGTTGCATTCACTGGAAAGGTGTTAGGGGTGACATAATAGAGGTTTACAAGTGGGTGAATGGACATAGCAAAGGGGATATTAATAGGGTATTAAAAGTATCAACACAAGACAGAACACGAAACAATGGGTATAAATTGGATAAGATTAGATTTAGGAAAGACTTGGGTAAATACTGGTTCAGTAACAGGGTTGTTGATTTGTGGAACCAATTACCGCGTAACGTGCTGGAGGTGGGGTCCATCCATTGTTTCAAGCGCGGGTTGGACAAGTATATGAGTGGGATTGGGTGGTTATATATAGGAGCTGCCTCGTATGGGCCAATAGGCCTTCTGCAGTTACCTTTGTTCTTATGTTCTTGATTTGTGGAACCAATTGCCCTGTAACGTGCTGGAGGTGGGGTCCATCCATTGTTTCAAGCGCGGGTTGGACAAGTATATGAGTGGGATTGGGTGGTTATATATAGGAGCTGCCTCGTATGGGCCAATAGGCCTTCTGCAGTTACTTATGTTCTTATGTGGTCCCTCGATTGTTTCAAGAGCGGGTTGGACAAGTATATGAGTGGGATTGGGTGGTTATAGATAGGAGCTGCCTCGTATGGGCCAATAGGCCTTCTGCAGTTACCTTTGTTCTTATGTTCTTAAACTACCAAGTTAGCATAGCAGGGCAAGCGGATACAAATCCTAAAGGTTTTTTTCAGTTATATCGAACTAAGACTAGGGAAAGGATAGGTCCATTAAAAATTGAGAATTTTTTGAGGATAATAATTTTAATACGGATAATGACAAGGAGATGAGTAGTATTTTTAATAAATATTTTATATCTGTATTTTCTAAAGAGGAACTTAACAATATGCCTTCAGCCGAACAAATAGATGTGGGTGGGGACGAGGACAGGTTGACTAGTATAGCAGTTACCAGGGAGGATGTAATGAAACAAATACTAAAACTAAAACCAAACAAATCCCCAGGGCTGGAAGAAGTGTTTGCCAGGGTGCTTAAAGAATGCAAAGAAGAGCTTTCCGAGCCTCTGTCTTCCATATTTAATAAATCAATAGAGTTAGGTAGAGTGATGTCACTGTAGTCATGGAAGGTAGCTAATGTTGTTCCAATTTTTAAGAAAGGAGATAAATCACTTGCGTCAAACTATCGGCCAATTAGCCTAACGTCTATTGTGGGAAAGTTACTTGAAGCGATAATTGCAAACACATTTCGCATTCATCTTGAAAAACATAAATTAATAAATGACATGGTTTTACAAATGGCAGTTCATGTTTAACAAATTTGCTATCATTATATTCCAGCATAGTTGAGGCAGTTGATAGTGGTAAGGATTATGATGTTGTGTACCTTTTCTTTAGCAAAGCTTTTGATACAGTGCCACATGAAAGACTGATTAAAAAAATAGAGGCTCATGGTATTGGGGGTGCTATATTTAAGTTGGATTAGGGCATGGCTATTCCAAAGGAAACAGAGTTAGTATAAATATCACTTCACTATCACTTCAAGTTGATCTAAATAGGGTTTTGAAATGGTAAAAAAAACACTGGGATAGTATTGCATGAATTAAATAAGGTACCCCTTATTATCCTGCAAAATTTAATTGCATTAATATTATACAATCGGTATCTCGAATGCCCTACTGTATACATAACAGAAATTGGTATACAGGCATATATATTATCCTCAATATCCTTTCAGCACCATAAAGGTTAAGACATACCTCGGCTACGTCAGTAGTAACCACTATGAAATGCCTTCAGTAAACAAAAATTAGTTACAAAATGTATTTAAACAGATATGAAGTTTTTCCTCCCGGGACTAACAATGACTTGCTCAAATTTCATAATTATGGCCAATTATCAAGATATTTAATAACACACGAGACTTCATGGACGGCACAATCCCATGATGCCTAAAAAGCTTTGCGTTATGCATTAAACTCTTCACTTGTAGCGAATTAAATTATTAGTAAATTTATGGGGCAAATTATTCTATAATTTCCATGATAGACAGATGCACTATTCCACATCTATACTACAGTGAATTGTTTGGCATTTTCTTTAAGTTGGTTTCATTAATCCATCTTAACCAACCCATCCTCTCACCTAATACTACTGTACATAGCAGTTTTAACAGAATTGATCTGTTAAAAACGAGAGGCATTAGTAAAAATTAAAGTAACATAATAGTGACACTTTTTAAGCCTTGGTCTTGATAGGTTAGGTGGGTTGCTTAGGTTCTGAAGATTCAGGTTAGGTAAATTTAAAGAAAATAACCGACGCTATGGATCTTCAATAATTCCTTCGGCACAACAACGATTAGCTTGCTCCGAACTTCAAATTGTCAATTTATTTATCTTGGCAAATGAAAGAAATATGCAAGAAATTAAAATTCCTTTAATTTGAGAAAAAATACAAAACCCTCCTAAACTACATCCTTAATAAAAACTCTTAATTAACCTTAATAAATTACACAGTGGGTGTAATTTTTAAGAATTCACACAAATCTCAACCCAGTTTCAATGGGGTGTAGAAAAAGCAGCTGTACTAATGTGCTCTAATATGATGCGAACTATTTTACATTAGCTTGTGTGTGCATGTTCATTACTTTCATATTCTATAATAACAGGCTCCCTGGGGAACAACAAGTATACTGAACATTGCAGATTAGAGGTTTTTCTTTATACGGACTGAAAATCAATCTCACTGCCAAGATAATGGCAATAATGACTGGTTCGTTCTTCGATGCCTAGGAGGAAAATCTTTCAAATGTCAATCTTATAATGTATTTAACATTAAAAATATATAATTCCTGTGTAGCCAAGGACTTTAAAAATGCTGGGAAATATACATCATTTTAATCTGAGAGATGATCATCCAATTGTACTGAGAGCAGATACATAATCCACAATCACAGTAAGACTCTGATCTACTTTTCTTCTTCGGAATCGGTCTCTGCTGCTGCAGATTTTGAGCGACTACGTGATTTTCTCTTCTCTGGGGTAGGGCTATGGGAACGAGACCTGGATCTTGACTTGGACCTCTCTGAGCCTGACCTTGATCTTGAGCGAGAGCCAGACTTTGAACGTGACTTGGACTTTGAGCGGCGTTTCTTGCTGTGGCCACCACTCCTTGAAAGAGAGCGGCTGTGAGAACGGGAGTGGGAGCGCGACCTGGAACGAGTACGTGATCGTGAACGAGATCTCGATCGCGAGGATGATCTTGACCTGGATCTGGATCTAGAACTCCTCGATTTCGATTCATCTACAAGATGAATACGTCTTCCATGTAGTTCCTTGCCATCTAATCTGTGAAGGGCATTCTTCATGTCTGCATAGGTAGCAAATTCCACCACACCTTCATTTCTTCGGTATTCGTGCGCGGCTGCGTACGTGACCTCACCAGCTTGGCGCATAAAATCTTTGAGATCCTGCCAGGACACTCTACTAGAGAGGTTCTCAGCAGTTAGACGGTAATCTGTTCGGGCAGCCATGCCAAATCGACTGGAATGAAATCCTCTTGGTGGTGGTGCCCGAGGCCAGCGCATCCGTGGAGCAGAACGTGCCTTCTCCACTGTTACTCTTTCACCAAGAAGCTCTTTTCCATTCATCTCGTAGACAGCATCATCTGCATCACGGTCATCGTCAAACTCCACAAAACCAAAGCCATTCTTGATAACAATGTCCCTTAAGCTGCCATATGATCTGAAGAATCTGTCAAGATCCCTCTCCCCAACACGGTAGCTGAGTCCACCAACATACACGCGAGTGCCTACCATGGTGTCTCGGAATTCACTTCATAAACGGGAGTTTGTATGGCGGTGTGGAGCTAGTACTCCTGCAGGCTGCGTGTCACTGTGGGACTGGGACGCTACTGCGCACCCTCCTCTTATGCTGTCTGCGCACCTCACGCCCCCACCTTCTTCACCCCACCATTTGTGCATCTTCCCCCACCTGCTCACTCTCTTGGTATAGCAATAATATAAAGAAGCTTGGTATAGCATAATTGGTTACGGGATACTATTGATTATAGATGCAATAGACTCCTAAGCCTGTGAGTCTCGTCTCACAACATATACTCACACAGCCCCCTCTTTTATGCGAATGGTCAAAAGATTGGCAGATGCAGTATAATGCTGATAAATGTAAAGCTCTGTTTTTTTTTCGTTTTTTTCAGTTATATCGTGCTAAGACTAGGTAAAGGATAGGTCCATTAAAAACTGAGACAGGTCAAATAACAGATAGTGATGAAGAGATGAGTAGTATTTTTAATAAATATTTTGTATCTGTATTTACTAAAGAGGAACTTAACAATATGCCTTCAGCCGAACAAGTCTATGTGGGTGGGGACGAGGACAGGTTGACGAGTTTAGCAGTTACCAGGGAGAATGTTCTTAAACAAATAGTAAAACTCAAACCAAACAAATCCCCAGGGCCGGATGAAGTGTTTGCCAGGGTGCATAAAGAATGCAAAGAGGAGCTTTGTGACCCACTGTCAACCATATTTAAATAAATCAATAGAGTCAGGCAGAGTGCCAGAGTTTTGGAAAGTTGCTAACGTGATACCAGTTTTTAGGAAAGGAGATAGATCACTTGCGTCTAACTATCAACCAATTAGCCTAACGTCTATTGTGGGAAAGTTACTCGAATCTATAATAGCATATAAAATTCGTCTTCATCTTGAAAAACATAAATTAATAATTGAGTCGCAACATGGTTTTATAAATGGCCGTTCATGTTTAACAAATTTGTTATCTTTTTATTCTAGCGTTGTTGAGGCAGTTGATAGTGGTAAGGATTGCGATGTTGTGTACCTTGACTTTAGCAAAGCTTTTGATACAGTGCCACATGACAGACTGATTAAAAAGATAGAGTCTCATGGTACTGGGGGTGCTATATTAAGCTGGATTAGGGCATGCTATACCAAAGGAAACAGAGAGTTAGAATAAATGGAGTCAAGTCAGAGTGGGAAAATGTTGTAAGTGGGGTCCCAGGCTCTGTCCTGGGACCTCTGTTGTTTATAATATATATAAATGATTTAGATTCAGGTTTGAGTAGCAACATTTGCAAATTTGCCGATGATACGAAAATCGGTAGGGAAATTAATTCGGAGGACTCACTATCACTTCAAGTTGATCTAGATAGGGTTTTGAAATGGTCGAAGGATTGGCAGATGCAGTTTAATGCTGATAAATGTAAAGTTCTGAGGTTAGGTAATGATGATAGGGTTACAAGATACGAGCTAGATGGTGTTGAGATTGCGAAGTCGAATTGCGAAAGGGATCTGGGAGTTATGATTAGTAAGAATTTAAAACAAAAGGATCAATGCATAAATGTTCGTAATAAGGCAAATCGGACACTTGGATTTATTAATCGCAGCGTTAATAACAAGACACCTGGTGTGGTTCTCAATCTATATCTTGCTCTAGTTAGGCCCCATTTAGATTATGCAGTTCAGTTTTGGTCGCCATATTATAGAATGGATATAAATTCACTTGAACGTGTCCAGCGTAGGATGACTAAGTTAATTCCCCAAATTAGAAATCTTTCATATGAAGAAAGATTAACAAGGCTTTAGTTGCATTCACTGGAAAGGTGTTAGGGGTGACATAATAGAGGTTTACAAGTGGGTGAATGGACATAGCAAAGGGGATATTAATAGGGTATTAAAAGTATCAACACAAGACGGAACACGAAACAATGGGTATAAATTGGATAAGTTTAAATTTGGGAAAGACTTGGGTAAATACTGGTTCAGTAACAGGGTTGTTGATTTGTGGAACCAATTACCGCATAACGTGCTGGAGGTGGGGTCCATCCATTGTTTCAAGCGCGGGTTGGACAAGTATATGAGTGGGATTGGGTGGTTATATATAGGAGCTGCCTCGTATGGGCCAATAGGCCTTCTGCAGTTACCTTTGTTCTTATGTTCTTGATTTGTGGAACCAATTGCCCTGTAACGTGGTGGAGGTGGGGTCCCTCGATTGTTTCAAGCGCGGGTTGGACAAGTATATGAGTGGGATTGGGTGGTTATATATAGGAGCTGCCTCGTATGGGCCAATAGGCCTTCTGCAGTTACTTATGTTCTTATGTGGTCCCTCGATTGTTTCAAGAACGGGTTGGACAAGAATATGAGTGGGATTGGGTGGTTATAGATAGGAGCTGCCTCGTATGGGCCAATAGGCCTTCTGCAGTTACCTTTGTTCTTATGTTCTTAAATTACCAAGTTAGCATAGCAGGGCAAGCGGATACAAATCCTAAAGGTTTTTTTCAGTTATATCGAATTAAGACTAGGGAAAGGATAGGTCCATTAAAAATTGAGAATTTTTTGAGGATAATAATTTTAATGCAGATAATGACAAGGAGATGAGTAGTATTTTTAATAAATATTTTATATCTGTATTTTCTAAAGAGGAACTTAACAATATGCCTTCAGCCGAACAAATAGATGTGGGTGGGGACGAGGACAGGTTGACTAGTATAGCAGTTACCAGGGAGGATGTAATGAAACAAATACTAAAACTAAAACCAAACAAATCCCCAGGGCTGGAAGAAGTGTTTGCCAGGGTGCTTAAAGAATGCAAAGAAGAGCTTTCCGAGCCTCTGTCTTCCATATTTAATAAATCAATAGAGTTAGGTAGAGTGATGTCACTGTAGTCATGGAAGGTAGCTAATGTTGTTCCAATTTTTAAGAAAGGAGATAAATCACTTGCGTCAAACTATCGGCCAATTAGCCTAACGTCTATTGTGGGAAAGTTACTTGAAGCGATAATTGCAAACACATTTCGCATTCATCTTGAAAAACATAAATTAATAAATGACATGGTTTTACAAATGGCAGTTCATGTTTAACAAATTTGCTATCATTATATTCCAGCATAGTTGAGGCAGTTGATAGTGGTAAGGATTATGATGTTGTGTACCTTTTCTTTAGCAAAGCTTTTGATACAGTGCCACATGAAAGACTGATTAAAAAAATAGAGGCTCATGGTATTGGGGGTGCTATATTTAAGTTGGATTAGGGCATGGCTATTCCAAAGGAAACAGTTAGTATAAATATATATATAAATGATTTAGATTCAGGTTTGAGGGAGCAACATTTGCAAATTTGCCGATGATACGAAATCGGTAGGGAATTAATTCGGAGGACTCACTATCACTTCAAGTTGATCTAGATAGGGTTTTGAAATGGTCAAAGGATTGGCAGATGCAGTTTAATGCTGATAAATGTAAAGTTCTGAGGCTAGGTAATGATGATAGAGTTACAAGATACGAGCTAGATGGTGTTGAGATTGCAAAGTCGGATTGCGAATGGGATCTGGGAGTTATGATTAGTAAGAATTTAAAACAAAAGGATCAATGCATAAATGTTCGTAATAAGGCAAATCGGACACTTGGATTTATTAATCGCAGCGTTAGTAACAAGACACCTGGTGTGGTTCTCAAGCTATATCTTGCTCTAGTTAGGCCCCATTTAGATTATGCAGTTCAGTTTTGGTCGCCATATTATAGAATGGATATAACTTCACTTGAACGTGTCCAGCGTAGGATGACTAAGTTAATTCCTCAAATTAGAAATTTTCATATGAAGAAGAAAGATTAACAAAGCTTAAGTTGCATTCACTGGAAAGGCGAAGAGTTAGGGGTGACATGATAAAGGTTTACAAGTGGATGAATGGATATAACAAAGGGGATATTAATAGGGTATTAAAATTATCAACTCAAGACAGAACACGAAAAAATGGGTATAAATTGGATAAGTTTAGATATAGGAAAGACTTGGGTAAATACTGGTTCAGTAACAGGGTTGTTGATTTGTGGAACCAATTGCCGCGTAACGTGGTGGAGATGGGGTTCCTCGATTGTTTGAAGCGCGGGTTGGACATGTATATGAGTGGGATTGGGTGGTTATAGATAGGAGCTGCCTCGTATGGGCCAATAGGCCTTCTGCAGTTGCCTTTGTTCTTATGTTCTTGATTTGTGGAACCAATTGCCCTGTAACGTGGTGGAGGTGGGGTCCCTCGATTGTTTCAAGCGCGGGTTGGACAAGTATATGAG